CAGAAAGGTTTGAGCTGTGTTACAGAGACGCGTAGCGGCGAGACTGCCAGGTTGAAGGAGAGTGAGTGTGTGTGTGTGTGTGTGTGTGTGAGACTGAAGATGTGCACGAGGGAGAGACATCACAGCATGGGCTCGATGTGGGAGCAATCCAGTTACTTAAACTGATCAAGATTTAATTAACACAACGCTCGGCAATTACTCTGTAATTAAAGTCATTTGTCCTCTTGTGGAGCTGAGAGTGCCACTGCTCCCATAGAGCTGCAAATTAGAGAGGGGAAGCGAGGAGGGGGATGATGAGGGGCTCGATGCTGCTGATGTGTTTGTGTATTAGCCCTAGCCCTATAAATACACTGCCATTCTGACTAACTGCTTGTTTTATCATTGGAAAAGAAGGAAAGAAACTGTATAAATATATGTCCATTCACAGTAGGGGTTTGCAGAAGCAATTTGCCCAACTTTGAGTTGATATTGCTGAGATCAAATTGAAAACATTGCTTGGTCAGTATATTATTAAAGATATCAGGGGCTGTTCCTGTATATAAAATATTGGTAGCACTTTAGTTTCGGGACCAATTCTCACTGTTAGTTGCTTATTAGCAGGCATATTACTAGCATATTGGCTGTTTATTAGTACTTATTAAAGTCCATATTAATACCTTACCTAAACTTAACAACTACCCTACTAACTATTAATAAGCAGCGAGTTTATTGAGGCAAAAGTCATAGTTAATAGTTAGTTAATAGTAAGAATTGGTCCCTAAACTAAAGTGTGACCAAAATACTTTTTACAACTCTGTTGCGCAATTAATTAAGTGTGTTCCATTTGAATCATATTTAATAAATGTATGAAGGAGAATGGGGCTTGTCACAAAAATTTCAATGCAATTCGTAACTGTTTTATGTTTTGGCAAATTGGTGGCCAATTCATAAAATCTCATTTGTGCTGCCTGGACCTTCATGGTTTTGTTTTTCACACGTTTCCATACGAATCACATCACACAAATCCATAAGAAATCACCAACTTAAAAAACAAATAAAGCATGCATCTCATGAGATTTCTATTGTTATTGGCTAAATAAAAGATACAGTTTAACACAAGTTGACCTTATAGTGTGGCATAATGGCAAACTCTATGGGGTAAGTTGTCAAAAAGGGAACCTTTTCTTTTTAATTGACAGTGATTTGAAAAGTTTATATATATTTTTTTTTCTTTGCTTTTTAGTTATTAGAATTTCCACTGTGGCTCGACGGCCCTCATCCACAGCTGGAAGATGGAGTGGTCACCTGTCAGGTCTGTGCAAGTATATGGAGTGGCTGCTGTGATTACAAATCCCACCCTATACGAGTCAAAGCTTGTCCTGGAAATTACTACGTTTATGAGTTTGTCAAGACACCATTTTGTACAGTTTACTGTGCAGGTATATATATATATATATATATATATATATATATATATATTTAAAGGTTAAAATAATTTTTTTTTAAATCACAAAGTAAGTTTTCTATTAGGTGTTTGTAAACAACATAGGCCTAATAATAACAGATAATCGAGAAACCAAGCATTTCTGCAACTGGATTTTTGACTCACTTACAGCTAATGTGACAACAAGATTTTTTTTCTCAGGTAACCTGGAACAGCTCATATGGCAGATGAAGAATGTTACTGTGTGCAGACCTTTAATCTGACGTCACGTTTACTATAAAAGGGTTTTTACTGAAACAGCGGTGCACCGCGACTTTCGCGCCTTCGGGTGCTCGTAAACAATCTATGACGACAACAGTATATATATAATTATTTATATTAATAACTAAAAAGCAAAGAAAAAATAAAAGGAAAATAAAAAAGTAAAAACCCTTTGTCCACAATATAATTGTTTTTAAAATGGCAGTTGCTGTTTATTGTCTTTTCAGCCTAAGACAACAGAAGCCAACTGAGACGGCTGCGCCGTTCTGCACCGAGGCAAAGATTACGCGTTAAAAAGCAATTAAAGAGACATTTCAAAACCGTCAACCATTCTCAGAGGTGAGGACACTGAATGCGGACCTCTCCTCTCCCTACCGCACCAACATTTTCAGACAGTAGCCACGAGCGCAACTCCACTTACAGGCCGTAGATAATTAATGGGACATTTTCAGCGGCAAACAGTGACTAATTGCACTAGACAGAAATAGCGAGGAATTAATAACATGCATCCAACACTTGCCACGATCCCCTACCGCTTCAATTTGCCGGGAGATTAAAAACGACTGCCAAGTTTACTAAATTAGAAGCGTGTTGTGTTGTGTGCGCGCGCGTGTAGCATTACTATCTCTTATTTACAGACGATGATCTGCATATCATCTTACGGGGTCTCACGCTGGGGGAGAGAGGTAAATATCAAGTTCACCAACCCCGCCGAATGTAGGTGTCCTATTGATATTTTGGCGTCCAGCCTCCGGCCACCTGTGGCACTTATCGCCTTGCCAGTTCACCTGGTCGGGGGACAGGGAGAACGGAGAGACAAATCGTGGTTAGACCTGTTTCCCCCTGCAGGAGTAATAGAGTTTAGCAGTCAACACCTTCCTTACCGAGATACCCGCCACTAGACCTTAAAAAACCCTGAAGGAATGCTATTGACATCTGTCATCATTTGGAAGCTATTGGGATCAAACCAGCTTCGACTGCATACAGAGACATTCTGACAAAATTAGAAAAAATCAGTTTATCCAGTAGAATCATATTTGATTCTGAGAGGATTCTTGTTTTATCCCATTTAGGATTGGTTCCAAATTATGATAAAAAATTCCATTAGCATTCCCTCGGGATATTTGGGTGCTCCAGAAAAGACCTCATGCGGTCAGGACTGATCATGAAGTGTATCCGAAAGAACAGGATCAATGAGTGTCCATGATATACCAAAGGGGGGGAAATCATTTTAAAAAAAAACTAACTAAGACATGTACTCTTTTTATTCATCGTTTTGATTTTAACAAGCTTTTATATGGTTTTCAAAAGTTACATTTAATGACATAAAATGTCATGTGGTGTAACCAGTAAATAAAAGGTAAAAATATTTCTATATTTACATTTTTAATGCATAGGAGTTCACACATCTCAATCATCATTTACAAAAATGTTTTAAATATATATTTTTAAGGTAAATGGTGTATATATATATATATATATATATATGAATTAATAAATACACACCACATGACAACCTTAACTAATATCATAAAAAGATAATATTGTCTGAGACTTATCTCTATGATATCATTTCCAGTTTTTTCCCCCCCTGAATATTGGTTGGACCACATGACTTTGTTGGTCATACTACACAGAAGATTAGAAGACTATTATAAGCTATAATATATTATAAACTTTTTTCATATTGTACTTTTTTTTTTCTTTTCAAGAATTGTATTCCTGTATTATGACTTTTTATGATATCGCGACATTTATAGAAAAGGTGCATTTAAAGTCATCGTATATATTTGCACAATTCTTTTGAACAAATTAATAGAAAGCAGAAAAAAAAGAGCTAAAAAGCCTCTCAAAATGATAAAGGTGCATTACTCTAACACTACAACATCCATGTTACATACAGAAACAAACAAATTTTAACAAGTTCACTGCACTGTAATTATCATCAGTTTTCAGATGATGTACGTTGTATGTCATCTTTGTTCTAAAAGATTGATGAAGAAGCCTAATATTGTCTGAAAATCACCTTTGTAAAGGACTCAGCACTCCATGTTTTGGTTTGATGTCCCAATCTTGACACTGCTGATCGGGGCGACATGTCTTGATTTTCTGCGGCTTTGATCCTTCAACAGTTGACTGTCTGAGCTGGCAGGCATCCTGAAGGAGACAGCTAGCAGGCAGCAAATAAAAAGACATGATCTCTTTCTCTCTCTGAGCACGAGCGTGCAATATGCCCTTGCTAAGCCTTC